AACACCTGGGGCAGGGGGATCCTTCAGCCTGGTCTCTGAAAGATCCATCAGTCACATTGGTACCCAGCTGGGAGAGCATCACAAGTGCAGTCCTGCAGCTGCTGTCCCACTTTTGTCCCCAGCACCCGTAAGGGCAAGCAAAGGGACATTGCTCATGTACACAGAGAGCATGGGCTGGAGAGCATATCTGACTGCTATCTCCTGCCCTTCTTTAGGATTTCAGAAAGATCAAATGCTGCAGCATGAAGCAGTGTGCTTTCACATGAAGTCTGGTAAAGTCTGACATATTTTGCAGAAGCCATTTCTTCCTGACAGTGATTTATGCTCTTGCTGCATCACCTTGTTTTAGGCTTCTTAGAGTGCAGCCTGAGCCTGCAAAACCTGCTGCACAGGCAGCAGAGCCCACACAGGTTTTCCTGTTCGGAGATGTGTGTTTGTGGCAGGGCAGGTGGTCCTGGTCCTCCCCAGCTGCCATGTTTCATCTTCTTGGGGTATCACACAGGCACAGCGGGGGAGCTGTCACAGCACAAATCACACTGCTTCAAGGCAGATCCTGGTCTGGGTACTTAACATGCAGCATTTAAAGCAAGCATCTGGATTCCTATCTCTTGTTCACGGTACCAAATAAAAGAACAAACAAGGAAAATCTTGAAATCCATACTTGAAGGAAATGGCTGAAAACTATTTTAATCCTTTGATCCTGCATAGGATTTATAGATATTTTGGAAACCTTGATGTACTGGGTTGGCAATCTTTTTTTCTTCAGAGCTATGAAAGACCCAGAGATTGACATGATTTAAATGTTAAATATGAGAGAATGAAGATCTCATAGGGATTCTGAGGGTATTAAAGTCTTTTTAATACAGATACACAACTCACTGCACTTTTTTTTTTATGTCTTAGATTGATTCCCACTTACTTCTACAGTCATTACACAATTTTTCCAAGGCAACCAAGGAAGAGGAGCAATTTTCTAGGTTCATCCCACCTGCAGCACTCCTTTTTGAAGGAGTGGCACTCAGTGCTCTGACCAGGAAACCTGGGCTGGGCCAGGCCAGGCACAAGGTCAGCCAGGTGGATTTGACATCAAACATGATTTCTCCTCGACCCAGCCAGCCATCCTCTTACCCAGATGGAGAGGCTCCTGCGTCTCACCTCCTCCCATCCGGAAATGGGACCCACCTTTCTGTGTCCGGGGTGGGAACTGGCATCCTGTGAATTCAGCATCATGCCAACAGCCTATGTGATGCCCAGGTCTGTGCAACTTGGCTGGGCTGAGGAGCACACCAGCACTTCATTGTCAGGGTCCCTCTGGGACTAACACTACATCCCTGGTGGGGTTTTGGTGGGGGAAGGTCCACCGCCCATGGGCAGACACGGAGTGACTCACTGCATTTTGGTAAGCCTTGTGAGCTCTGTCTAGCTCAAGCCTGCCTAGCTCAAGCCTGTCTAGCTCAAGAAATCAGTTTAAAATGGAGAACCTCTGTGGGATGTACCACCCTCTCCAGGGGACTTTCTAACTGCAGGGGAGACTCACTGTGGGGTGCCACAGCACTGGAGGTGCAGTGCAGAGGGAGTAATGTGCTCAGCCCTCAGCAGCATGCAGCATCTCACGAGCACTTAGAGATGAGCACAGTCACACTGGAGGCAATTATTACTGCTGCTGTTTGCGTGCTCCTAAATTCACCATCTTCAGAGTGGAAAGAGTTTCAGCCAAGCACAGAGGAGGTAAAATTAAGAGCAGCAAATTCCTCATGAGGGAACTCTCCCAGCAACCCCTGTGGTCTGACAGCCCCCTGAATGCAGTGATGGAGGAAGAATCCACCCAGCACCTGGGAACAGCAAACACCAGCAGGCAGAAGAGCAATCCTGGATGAATACGAGAGGTGAATCAGCCTGCAACAGCCCTGGCTGCTGCAGTCACAGAGTGTCTGCAGCCTGCTCAAGCCCATGGTGGGTGTCCATAGCAATGCCCCCTGCCAGCACCAAAACCCTCTCCTGCTGCCATAAATTCTTACCTCTCCCCATTTTGTTTTAAAAGCACAAAGATCTAAATTAATCAGATAGGCACAGGTTATGAATAACTCAAGTTCTTCTTGACCTTCAGTCACCCAGTACTTATTTCATAACAAATTCTTCATTACCTGAAGTGTTGTGTGCAGTTTTGGAAGCCTCAATATAAGATATAAATCTATTAGAGAGCATCCAAAGGAGGATCACAGTGATGGTGAAGGGTCTGGAGGCAAAGCCATATGCGAAGCAGCTGAGGTCACTTGGTCTGTTCAGGCTGGAGAAAATGACACAGCTTCCTCATGAGGAGAAGCAGGGGCAGGCACTGATCTCTTCTCTTTGGTGACCAGTGACAGGACCGAAGGGAATGGCATGAAGTTGAGTCAGGAGAGGTTTAGGTTGGATATTAGGAAACAGTTCTTCACCCAGAGGGTGATTGTGCACTGGAACAGGCTCCCCAGGGGAATGGTCACAGCACCAAACCTGACAGAGTTCAAGAGGCTTTTGGACAATGCTCTCAGGCACATGGTGTGATTCTTGGGGTTGTCCTGTGCAGGGCCCGGAACTGGACTTTATGATCCTTGTGCATCACCTCCCACTCAGGGTATTCTATGATTCTATGAAATTGAGTCAGGCCCCAGAATTCATTATTTGAATAATAAATCTTCCCATTTCCTCAACAGCATGGAGTCTCTCCCGCAGGACACAGTCTTCCATGAACTTCTCCAACATGAGTCATCCAAGAGCTGCTCCAATGTAGGTCATTTTTCCACGGAGTGAAGTCCTTCAGGCATAGGCTGCTCCAGCATGGGACCCTGACAGGACCGCAGGTCCTACCAGCAAACCTCCTCCAGTGTGGGCTCCTCTCTCCATGGGTCTGCAAGTCTCTGCCAGGTCCCTGCCCCAGCATGGGTTTCCCATGGGTTCACAGCCCTCTTTCAGGCATCCACCTGCTCCAGCGTGGGTCTCCTCCACAGGCTGCAGGTGGAACTCTGCATCCCCATGGTCCTCCATGGACTGCAGGGGGACAGCTGCCTCACCAAGGTCTGCACCACAGGCTGCAGGGGAATCCCAGCTCCGGCACCTGGAGCACCTCCTCCTCTTCCTTCTACATTGACTCTGATGTTCCTCTCACATATTCTCACTCTGCTCTTCTCTGGCTGCAATTACCTCTGCACAATATTTTTTTCCTTCTTAAATAGGTTATCACAGAGGCATTGCTATCATTCCTGAATGGCTCAGCCTTGGCCAGCAGTGGGTCCATCCTGGAGCCATTAGTTCTTCTGGACATGGGAGAAGCTTTTGGCAGCTTCTCACAAACGTCACCCCTGTAGCCCCTGGTCACCCACAACCCCCCCACCAAAACCTGGCTACACAAATCCATTACACAGGGATGCCCTTGAGCATTAACATGGGAAACGGCAGATAAACAAGAAGTAAACGTATCATACAAATTCCTCTGAACTTCTTGCAACCAGCTGCAGGGTGAGCAGAATTCCCAGAAAACACAAGACTGACTGGGAAAGAGACAGAACTGTTAGTGGGATGTGGAGTGAGCTTTTCAGTTTGTCATTCAGAGAAGCTACTTTCTTTTGTATACTATAAATTAAAGAGGACTAAAAAACCCAGCCAATCAGGTCGGCACAGAAGCATCCTAGTGGCAGAATGACACAGCAGCAGGTCACCGGTTCTGTGGCCTCTCAGTGCCTGCCAGCCTCAACAGCCCACTCAACAGCTTTAGCTAAGTATGCAAAATGGACTGAGCTCTGCACTGGATTTTAAGCTTCCCTCCCGATATGTTGACTGCTTCCCTCTCCTCAGCTGCCTGTAGGGATGAGCACAGCATGGCTCAGGTGACATCAGCTCCAGCTACCAGCACAGCTGTATTTCAGAGCTGAAGCCACTGCTTTTGTGCTTGGCCTTGGCACCATAGAAGCTTAGGTATCTCCACCTTCCCGGGTGTCAAGCTTGATGCTCTCCAGTTGGCATATTGATTGCTTGAGCCTTCACTGACTGAATTACTGGTGCTGGATCAGCTCTATCGAGCTAGGGCATGTTTGCTGAACCCAGTAAGTTTTCATCACACCTTTCTCTACTCTTCTAGAAAGACTGCTGCTTAAGCCTACGGAAGACAAAGTTGTCAAGGTGATAATTCAGTCATTTAAGAAAAGAAAGAAAAAGGCACATTGAGCTGTTTGACTCAGAGTCAGCACTCAGTGCTGTCCTGGGCCATGAGGACCAGACATCTTTGGCTGGCACAAGATCCCCTCCTGCCTGCAGCTGCCACATACAGAGCCATCTTAGAGATGGTTAGTTATATTGTCCCATTCCAAAAAACTGATTGTTCCCTGTAAGCTAAATACAAGAGAAAGAGTGTTCATTTTCAGATTGAAGTATTGCTTTTTAGCTCTACTGTTTCTACTGCAAGAGTCATGCATAAGCATCACAATCCTTTTTCCAGAAATACAGGCAAAAATCTTAAGAGTCATAGAATCATAGAATGGTTTAGGTTGGAAAAGACCTCTAAGGTCATTGAGTCCACTGTAAAACTAACACCACCAAGTGCACCACTGCTACCAGTCCACAAAGCAGAACTCTGGCCTTCAGCTGTTTTACAAGATTTTGTGCCTTTCCTAAGTGATTAATCAAATTTTGTTCAACTCAAACTCCCCATTGCACTAAATTCCCCTTTGGTGAGATACTACAGTCTCTTCTGCACTACCCTGTACTTAGCAGAGACATTTCACTCTACATGAGCATAGACTGAGTTCCCTCAGTTTCCACTTTTTAAAAATCTGCTCCAGAAAAGCATCAGTGCACAGTAACTTGGCTATATTTAAAGCAGGCAAGTTCCTCTTTTGCTCTGAAACTATATTGTTTTTCTCACACTGTGTCTGGGAAGTCCAGCAAGCTTATTTTTTCCTGGCAACCTGCTTTCTAGCCAAGTGCCCCAGTTTATCTGATCTCTGGTCAGTCTCACTTTCATTCAGGGAAGGCAGCACAAGATCAGCCAGTGCAGCAACCCACCTCTCTCCATCATGGCCTGTGGTTTTCACAGCACTTGCCCGTGTCAGCTGCAAAGCATCCGGTGCTGCAGAGACGATGTGCGTGGAGGTGAGTGACAGACACCAGTCCCTCTTGATATACAGGAGCTGGACACATCTGAGGTGACTACCCGCCTGCTAACGTTCCAATGTTTCCAGTTCCCAAGGGATTTATCTCAGGGGAATTTGAAGGTCTTTATCAGAGAAATAAGGCAGGTGTCTTGATATATGCTTGGGGACATCAGCCACTGTCCCTCCTCCTCATCCTCACACCTGCACATCTGTGCACCCTCACTGTCTCTCCCACCACTGATGGAGACTTTGGGAGCCCATCAAACTAGCACTGGTTTGATCAAACCAGCCCATCATCCCTCAGAGAGCTTGAAGGATGATAAAGTTTCACAGGGGTATTTAAGAGGTATGAGAGCCAGATAGAGGATTTTTGTCTCTTGTGCTGTGCTCTTCATACAGGAACTTGTACACAGTGGTGGGATGATGACGTCTCTATTTGCTGTTTGGTCAGTATGCAATACCACATGAAATTAATAAGAAAATACCAGGGTTTTTCCAGAGGTAGAAGAAAAACTGACCCAATAAGATTTTTCTTTTTTTTAATCTTTTCTTCTGTTGTCTTTTCTATTCCAACTGGGAGACAACAGAAAAAAAGTCAAGGTTTTTGATTCAGGGAAGAAGCGCAATGGAAAAGCAGCCTTAAGCAGCACACATTTGGGGCCAATAACAAATTCCTCGTTGAATTAAATCTACAAATCCCTGAGCACTCAGAGCTGTACAACAGGATCCCCAGCAGGATAGTGTCTCTTCAGCTCCCTGTGAGAGCCACTTCATGCCCTGAAGCATATGGAGAGTTGCTTACTCACTGTTTTATTTGAATGGCAAAACATAGGCACTGTTGTCCTTTATAGTGACAGCTAAATAACTTTTATCTGTCTAAACTGCACATAGCAGCAGTTAGTTCCACAGGTTTTTCTTTGCTTATCAGTACTGAAAGCATCAGCTTTTCTAAGGTAGGATTTTCCCATTTTTGTAGTGACTGATACTGTATTATTTCAGTTCTTCTAGGCTGGACCTGAGTCCCTGTGGTCCCTGTGCTATCACAAGTACTATCACAGCAGGTACTGGGGTGGCTTTCTGCCCCCCTGGCCACGGCTCAGCACTGACTTGTCACTCTCTGCTGGTCCTGTCCCTGGGTGCTGTCCAGCTGGCACAGAACTCCAGCTGGGACCTAGCATGCCAGAGGGAGCAGGACAGTAGAGGAGCTGCACTCCCCACCCAGATGGGGAATTTGGTGGTGACAGTCCCTCTAGACTTCCTCCACCATGCTGCTGCCAGCATCTCTCTGCCACTGCCTAACAGGCTGCAGTGCCTGGAGCAGTGTCAGGTCATGTTGCCTCACAGAGACTCCCTGAACAGCATCCAGGTACAGGATTTGTGCTTAAAGGAAAGGAAGAAAGTGTTCACCATATCCAGCTTGTGGCTTGCAACAAATACTACTAATTAGCCCTCTCCTCTGAAGCTGCTGAGTGCTGACACTGCCCACCTGCATCTCCTAAGCCAGAGACAGGCAGAGACGTGGTTTAGCCTGAAATAGTTGCATGTCGACAGAACGACCTGAGCCCCATGCTCAGACTATTCCCCAGGGCCCACAGAGATGCACCTCAGCAAACCCCGACAGGCCACGTGCTCCCACCCACAGGGTGCACATCTGCACTCTCCCTTACACGTCACGGGCTCCAGGCTCCAGGGCATTTCCCTCTGAACACACAACTGCTGCCCCTGCTTGCTCTGCTCCACTAGCAGAATTGCTTTGTATCAACTAAAGTGCTTGTGCTGGCCAGCTGTGCCACACGTGCTTTTACTTACCCACAAGCAGAACGTCTGCAAGGTGACTGGCAAGGGTATTGCCAAAGCTGCAGCTCCCACGTAGTCCCAGGGACCCAACCTTTCTAGGCTGGGCCTGGGCGAGGAGGTGGCTGGTGCTGCACTGGCTGTGCTCACACTCCCCATTGCAGCATGGCAGCTGGGACCAGGGCGGTGCTCTGAGCACTCCCAGCATTTGGAGCAGTAAGGCAGCCTGTTTCAAGATGGTGCTTCCCAGATTCTGGTTGACTTCTGTGTAATCACCAGCAAAGGCAGGTCAGGCACATTTAATGAATTTCCCTGGTAGCCACAGGGTAGACTTCTCTGTGTAATAAATTGATTTATTTTCACTTAAACTGAAAATCCTTCATGGACATTCTAAGACTTAGCATTCCTGCTGTCTTCTCACTGCAGTGTGTAATGTAGTTCATATCCAACATTTTCCAGACCTGCTTTTTTTTTACCTCCTCTCTGTAAGGTTTACTTAAGACTTCTCTTGTAGTAAGTTTTGTTACAAGACTCATGATATTTGGAATTTAAAACTACTTTGTAGGAATGCTTTTTTAATGATTAATAATTCATCCAGAAGAGTAAACAATTCTTGTATGTGCTAACTTTGATAAGAAACTACTGCAAATGAAACACACTTCAAATTAGTACAAGAGAGTTTCAAGGTATTCATTTTAAAAACACACTCCACAAACCCCCCGGGCTGTCCATTGCAAGCTTGTGCTGAGGCTTCCTAGGGTTTTGGCTGCTGCATTTTAAATAATTCAAAACTCTGTTTGGGTTTATTTGGGGGTTGTGCTAGTTGGGTTTTATTTTCCTATTTATATTCACAGTACATAGCTCTATCAGCTTCACTGTAATCTTCCACAGATTACAGCAAATAAAAGCCATAGCCACGAAGGTTTAGGACTGAGGAAGCTTTCTGAAAAAGTACCTGTCACAACAGAAATCCTCAACTTCAGCTTCAATGTGCTGCCTTCCCTCCAGGATTCAACCTTCTCTGAGTTGAAGTTTCTTCTCTCGGACTTAACAAGGTATGGAAGGAGCATCTTCACTTCTGCTCATCACATTGGTGAAACCCCCTGCCAGAGACAGAGACCTCTGGAGCACACCACAGCAGCATCTCCCTGCCTTCACAGGGACACCTTCAGACAGCTTCAGATAGCTGGTGAGTTTTTTTGCTAAGCAGAGATTGATCCACTTGGGCAATATCTAGGCTTCTCCACTGATGACAATCATTTGCAGAACAGTGGGTGAAACAGGCATTTTCCAGATATTGCTGCTTCTAAGACAGTAGTGACAGCAAAGTCACTGCAGCAGGTTTTTATTCATTTTTCTATATTCTTCCCTAAAATCTGGAGAAAGACATGTTTGGTCCTTAGAAATTTTCATTTTATTAAGTTGGACACTAAAAACCTCCTGTCTCCCTGCCTCCCACAAATGCCTCCTCACACTCACCATTTCAGGGCAGGTTTTTCTTCTCAGCAGAACCCTGTAATTAAATGTGAACTTAAAAGTACCAGATAAACATCACTGAAAAAGACACTTTTATCGTGGTGAAGGCAACTGATCATGAGCTTTTACAGACAGGAGGTTCAGTTTGGGTAATCACATATACCGGAAGAGTTTTGCAAGACAGGCCACTGATGCTGCTTTCTATTGTTTTCTCAAGGTGTCAGATCAACCGGGTTATGATGGCACCTTTCACAGCAACAGGCAGCTGAAGACAATTGTGCTGACAGGAGACCTGCTCATGTTTCTGTCTCACACAGCGTTTGCTGGCCCGCGTTCCCTGGAGAAGCTTGTCTTAACACAGACAGGAATAACCAGTATGTCCTTCATTCCAATGACAAATCTGGATGGCTTAGATACCCTCATCTTGGGCAGCAACCACATCTCTTCATTGCAGCTTCCTCCCAGCTTTCCCACTCAAAACCTCAAATACCTCAACTTTCAAACAAACAACACAGGAGCAATCACAGCAGCAGATGTGCATGTTCTGCAGAATATCAGCAATATAACTCTCATCTTTACAGGCAATGACATTACATACATTGAACCTGGAGCCTTCCAGTCCCGTCTGGACTTCAGGGGCTGTGCTGACATCTCTGGGGTCCTGGCAGGGATATAGAACTCCACAGCCGAGACCCTTTGGCTGGGAACATTTTGTGGTGTGGAAAAGGAGCCCTACATAAGCCCAGATGTTTTACAAGGCCTCTGTAATATTTCTGTCAAGGATCTCTATCAGCAGTTAGGCTTTTCAGAAATCTAAGTGCTGACACATTTCAGTGCTTAACCAAGCTCCGAAAACTGGGCCTAACATTGCCACTGCATAATCAATTTAAGTTACCCCTCTGGACTGCACCTGCTCCAATATTGGTTTAATCACCTGGTACAAGCCAAATCTGAATAAAATTGAGGACCCTGAAGGAACAAGGTGCTCTGAACTCCAATCACTAGCTGGGAGTCAGCTGACCACCGTCTCGCTCTCCTGTGGGATGAACACAGCAGAAATCATTGCAGTTGTCCTGGCTGTTTTCTCCTGTGGTACCATGTTCATTCAGGGTGCTTTGTATTTCCAGCAAAATTAGCAGTGAATATATGTTTATTACGGAGATGCAGAAAAATATCTATAGCAATTGTATTATGTTGAAAGATATCTTACTGCTTTTGTTTGTGACCTTTTTTTTCTTAACTTTTGTAATACCCTTTGTATTATAACTTTTAGAAAAATAATGAAAAAATTAGAACTGAAAAAATAAACTATGACCTGAGCCTTGAATATAAATAACTTATCTTATAGAGAAATCTCTGTCCAACTCAAGGTTAGCCCTGGTGTACCAGCTAGTATGGCTAATGCACTTGTAAAGGTGAGATCCAAGGGCAAATCTTCTCTTCAAAAAAAAGAAAACTCTACCACCATCACTCTCAAAACCAAACAAACGAACAAAAACCACCAAAAAAGAACCAATTAAAAACCAAATCCCACCCTCTGTCAAATATCCTTGAAAAGCAATGTTGTTTAAGAGCTGGCAGTAGTGTACCCCACTCTGCTAAAAAGTAAAAAAACTACCTGTGAAAAACAGGCACAACTTCATAGTCATGTAAGACATATTCCTGCAGGACTGTCAGAAACAGCCTGTATCACTTCTATGATTTCTTTAAAATATTTCTTTAAGATATTCTTGATCCTTAGAAAATTCCTGACCATTGGACCTTGTCTGTGCCTCTCCCACTCTGAGGCAGGCTATGCTCCTGTGCTATTTTCTAGACTCCACAATAAGTAGAGACTGGCAACCATTTCATCTTTAACCATAAAATTTGTAGATTTGGTCAAGATCTGTTGGCACTACGTTTGCTTGCACAGGGCAAAAAATCCCAATGCCAATAGCTATGAGACATTCCTGTGCCAGCCTGGAGTAGACTTTTCTTTCCAGCTGCAGCCCAGGAGAGAAAACTAGAGGCTGCAGAGGGGGCAGTGCAGTGGACATCATCATCCCACAGGTGCACCTCGTGGCAACAGCTACTTCACAGGGCTTCTGGTGGGCATCCCTGGAGTAAAATTAGAGTCTTTCTGCTTCAATGGGATATGCAACAGCTAGGCAGGAATAAAGCCTTGTTATTATTTACATAAAACCAAATCACTTTCTCCGCCATCACATCTGAATAAACCCAGTAGCAAGACAGAGTGTGTGCATCTGATCAAGGATCTAATGGAAGCTTGCTGTGCCTGCTCGCCTGCCCTGTGTTACCATAAAGTGATTGATGTCACTAGTGCTTTAATAACAGCCTAATACAAATGTGTAGCCACAACCTTCTTGGGGGGTGGGGTATGACCCTTCCATCTCCATTGCAGAGCACGCACCACATGGAGTCTTGCCCTGTCCCAGCATGGCTCCCTGATGTGTTATGCCAGGAGATGCAGTTGCTTTCTTTCAGCACTTTCCATGCCAGACTCCACATTCAGCTTCAGCTCCAGCCCAAAGGCATTTCCTCAACATTGTCCTCTGTAACATGCTGACTAGCTAAAGTTTCTAAGATTCCTGCTGGATTAGAAAGTTTTTGCTCATTTCTGATGATACTGCTGACAAGAGTCCCAGCTTGGTCTTCTCTGGTAAGAACTACCTCTCATGAAAAGCCCCTTTTACTGTCTATTAGCAGATCAGATGCATACAATGTGTACTCTTGTGGCTTTCAGATGCCTTCACATCACTGCCACTGCCTTACCCTGTAGCTTCTCCTCCTCCCCTTTGTAGCCACATGTACCTCCTTTTTCAGTTGCCTACAAACACACCCAAATTTGGGGTACCAAAGCGTTGCCTCTCCTCACAGCTCTCTGTATTGCTGGTTCATATTCCCTGTTCTTGTGGTCACTGACCCTCCCTGCACTGAAGCCCCCTCCTGACCCCATCAGCAGGCACTGCACTCCAGCTGCCCAACACCAAAGCCACATGAGCTGCCAACCCCAGGCAAGCCCTTCTGTTCACAAGGGCTGTTCAAGGGAGAGAACTGTTCCTGAGCACATCATGCTGCCCAAGGGGAGCACACCCTAACTTGTCCTTGGGAGCAAGGCAGGGATATTTTTGAACTGAACCCAGGGTTCAAGGTGCATTTTCCCCTCCCTCTGCAAATCCAACTGCTTAATTGGGCAACCTCCGCTATCTAATAATCCAGCATGATTGCCAGTGTGTGTACCATCCAAGAAAGACCTGCTTCTTCCATTGTTTCCCTCTCAGAGTCGTGGATTCAGGGAAGTGTTAGACAAATAGTGATGTTAAAAAGGGAGTGTAACACTCCATAAGCATAAAAAAAATTCCCACAAGTATCAGGTAGCAACTGTGTGAGATTCACAAATATTAGTGACTGGAGAGGGAAACTGCATGTTGGGCTGAAAGGTATTCTGAAAGGCCTTTTTGTTTGGAGAGACCACCACAGGATTTAACCACCACCAGTTTCTGAAATGCCTCCTAATGCAGTGTAAATTCATGTGTAGACTTCACTTGGTGAAAACTCAAAGACGGCTGAGAAGGCGAAATGTGTTCCCGTGCAGTATCTGTTTGCACACAGAGTATTAAGACTTCCCTGAAATCCGCCCCCTTCTCTCTGCCCAACTTGTTTTAGATTACTGTATGTAATTTTGTATTACTGTATGTTGTATTTTTTGTCTCTACAGTGTCATCTCTCCTCTATTTGCCTGCAAAAAAGCCATTCATAAGACATTGTGCAAACAACAATGCTGAACAGCACATGCTATGTGTTTCAGGATGCACAAGTCCTAAATACAGGGATTGATTATTCTGAAGGAAAAATTATCTATGGATATAATACACTAAAATGTCTAGATTATATATTAAGACTTTTAAGTCCAAAGATTTAGTCTTCTGGGATTACTTAGTAAGGATATAAATGGAAAGAGACAACAGATTTTTTTTTTTCTTTAAAGAACTGCTTACCAAATCAAGCTCTGATGTGATGCACTCTTTGGTTTTAAGTCAGGCCTTTTTTATCTCTTATTTTTTCAAACACAGCTATGGAGCCAGCACAGAGAGAACAAGGGAATTGCTCGAGGTGAACAGTGCTTAACAAGACTTCACTTACCACCTTGCTGGCTCCTGGGCTACAGATGTCTCTGAAGTCATGGTACAACTCGACACTGCAACATGGAATTTATCAGTATTTACATAGAGAAGGAACTTGAGCATGTATTCATTAGGAAGTCACATTTCAGAGACTGGTAAGCTCTTACCTTTATTTCAATAGGACAAACCAAAACTCAGAGCCAAGTTCTTCCTTCCCTAACTGTGCTTAAACAAGGTGCTCTCAGTAAAATGCAAGTGAATTTTTGAAGGAGGATTTTACTCTGTTTTGAATGGGCCAATTTCTACATATGTTGACTTAAAAAAACACACCCTGATGTCAATGGTACATCTTTTAAGAACTTTCTCTCATTCACTAGTCTTGTCTGTAGCTGGAAAAAGAGCAGTCAAGATCCCTTCCCAAACACTCTACACCATACCTCCCTCATCTGACAAAACTGATGGAAATTCTTCTCTCCCAGCAGAAGATGACATTCTTCTCCACTGAATCCCTTGGACATCCTCTTCCTCCTGTACCTAATTCATACCTGCATTTGGTAGGGCTTGCCATGTACCAGAACACAACTGCATTGTTACTGTCTGCTTACTCTGCAGTCTTCTCCACTCTTCCTGATGCTCCCAACTTTTTGCAGCTTGAACCATAGTTTTAGCATCACTTCCTGCCCATGGCAGGGCAGTTGGAACTAGATGATCTTTAACATCCCTTCCAGCCCAAACCATTCTGTGATTTCTACCCTCAGTTCATTCAAATGCATCCTTGGCAGCTATCTGGGACATCGAGCTGGTCAGTTCTCATCAACTACTACACTATACAGTCAGTGGAAAGAAAAACTGTTGCTAACCCAAGGTATGAAATGGGACATGCATCCATACATGCTCCAGTATCTTCCTGTCCTGTGATCTATTCTTTCTTAGCTACAACCTGAGTTTTGATCCAAATCCAAGCTAGACATCCCTGCTAAGCCTTACAGACTGTGTAAGACTACAGTAAGCCTAAGGGGGCTTAGCAAACTGGGAGTTCAGTGCTGAGGAAGGGAGCTCACGTTTCCCTGGCAGACCATAAAAGCGTTCTCATCTCCAATAAGGTGCTGTCTTTTCTTATCACAGTCGAAGTGAGGATGACAGGTTGTGCCACATACAATACTGATAACCTGCCTCTCCTGACTTAATTAATGCAAACTCCATATACCACCCCTTTCCTCTGGCCCTGAACACTATGGAGGCTCACAGAGCATGCAGGGTTCTGTGCCTCCCCAGGCAGAGGTGATGGCTGCTGTGTACAGCCAGGGAGGCATGAAACTCAGTCAATCCTCAACTCTTGTAATTTCCTTTCCCTCAGCTGCTGGATCCTGCTCTTCCTTCCTCAACTCATCACCCATCAGTGCATCAGTTTTGCAAGACTATCTGCCAGCAGCCTGGAGCAAATTGGAAAAGTGGGAGTGATCTGCAGCTTCCCCTCACCTATTTGTTTCAAACAGGGAGTGAAGCTGCAAAAGTGATGCTGTAACACTGCTGCACTTAGTTTTGTACAGAGAAAAAACACAGAGAAAACAATGTAATAATAAAATGTGAACACAAATTCCCACATGCTGGGCAGCTATGCAGAGTTACCAGCAGCAAAACAGTAAAGAGATGTGTATTTTAATTGATACTGCTCCTATAGTAATGACAATGTATGTTCTGGAGGAAGGATTTATATGTCACATTACAACCTACTGCCCTTGTTACCTACTAAAGATATCATCACACCATACCTACCAATCCAACAGCCAAGCAGTGGTTCCAGCCTGAGACCAGACACTCAGCAATGCAGACCTCCTCTGTTCCCAGACCAAACTGCATTTCCTCGTGCAATACCCTCTGCCAGCACGTACCTTAAGGGGTGCACTGAGTTGGCCCCAAAGAAAAAAAAACTGCCCGCCTCTGAGTAGAGCAGAGATGTGCCTTAAGTTACAGCAGTGAGAGAAGTTCAAGGAAAAATGCTAACACAACAGTGTTTCATGCTGAATTTTTATTTCAATGTTATGCAACTGCATAAGTATAAATAATTGTGTTCAATATATAACAATTATGACATCCATAAAGAGTTTCTTAGAGAAAATAAGACTGCAAACACTTTATTGCACAGACCCTAACAATTTTTTCTTTTTTTTTTTTTTTTTTTTTTTTTTTTTTTTTTCCTTTTCTTTTTTTTTTTTTGGTAAGCTGAGAACTCTACTGCAGGAAGTCTACAAAAGAACACATCAGATCTACAATCACACTAAGACTGACCAAGAAGAACACAGGCAGGAGGATCTCTTAACAGCTCACTGGTAAAGTAAACATCAACAAACAGGTACTACATAAACACAAGCTTATGCACTGTTACACTTCCAAAATGCAAAGAACTTATTTGTCAGAAGTGATAATGAACTATACAAAATATACATAAAGGTATACTGTAAACAAAAGCTAGATGTGCTTTAAAGGAAACAAGAGGATTGTTAAAAAATGCAGAGACTGTAAACTAGGAAATACCTTCCAGACAGAAATGTTATTTTGAAGTGCATTAGCATTCATTTGCAGTAACTGCCAAAGCACAGATGAACTGTAAATGTTGAGACCATTTTCTCTTTAAACTTCTCAAAAATTATTATCCATTGCTCACCAGCTCCTCTGTGAATGCATCAAAGGCAGTATGAATGTTCTAGTGCCACATGAAAGATAAGAAGTTGTTTGTGATATTGGCTTTTCCTGACAGTTTTGTTGTAAGCCAACTCAATTCGTCAGTACAATGAAGTTTTCAGCAGAGGGAAATGAATTCTGCACACTGTCTATTGTCACACGAGTCTCCAAGTCAAGATTACACTGTGCTTTTATGAACAATTTTCTAGCTTTTGAGACAGAAAGACAAACTGTAAGCATTGGTGTAAAAGTAGGGGCCTAACTCTACTGTGGTTACAGAAAACAGAAATGAGCAAAACAACCATTCTATTGATCCCCAATTATTAGAACCCATGCTACTGCAAGGGCATTTTGTAGTGCTTCTGTACATGTTTCAAACTTTACCTTTCATCTCTCAAAACAAACCAAATACCTCCACACTAACAAAGTCTACATGTTCCACAGTATACAAAATTTAAATAAGGCTTAGCAAAAGTAAAAAGACAGTAACATTCTAGCACCAAATAGCTCCAATGGGTTCTTGTTACAAAATGCTTCTTTTGAAATTACAGTATTTAACTTTTTTGCATACAAATAAAAAGATTATGTTATGAAATGTATGGAGCTACTTAATGCATTTAGAAATGAATGTGAAACCCAGAGTTACTTGCTAAAAACAGCAAGTTAAGTCTACAACATAAGGCCCCAGCTATGTATTAAAATGCATCAGATATTCTAAATTTTTTTGAAGATATGATACTGAAACTACTGAAACTGCTTTTTTTCCTTTTTACCTTGTCATAAAATAGAAAAGAGCTATAGCATTATGACACTAACTATGCAGACCTATATGCCATGATATATATTTTCTAAATGTATTAAAAACAGGGATGAACATACTAGTACTACCAGTCATGTGCTTATACTTGTGCCTCACACTGTAAGGGCCTGAATTTAAAAAAGCTCAAGGAACTTGAGAGGATTGCAGCAAAAACTGAGCACGTGGCATGTGCTTCAGAGAGTTAGAGCCTTGTCTGAGGTGAAGGTCACAGAACACACTCCTAATAGACAAGAACCACCATTTCACCACAGAACACAAGTCTTGCTGGGATGCCCTGATAATTAAGTGGTCTTCCCATAGCTTTAAGGACACCTACTCTAATCAGGTTTTGTGCAGTAGGGAGATGCAGTTATGTCTTGTGTTACATCTGGTGAAGCAGTCAGCCAGGTACAGTACTATCAAAATCAAATTATTAAAAATACATGTAAAAACTCACAATAGGTCACCATATTTATTCTGTACTAGTATTTTTTTTAACTTCTATCTAGGATTTTTAGTAAGTAAAAATGTGGCGTGGTTTTCTTTTTCTCCAGTCAGACTAATACTTGAGCATGTCCATGCCAGGTCTGAGTTTTAATAATTTGGTTTCATATTTCAGCATGGCAAATAAGTGGCTAAGCAACTATCTTAAAAAGGGAAAGAGGAAACAACGCAACCAGCAGCGAAGTATATATGCTACATTCAACCCCCAAACACATCGCTAAGTATTTACAGAGGAAATATTTTCTTCAACAGCTCTTGGCTGTAAAGGTATTTTTGTACAAATACTATATGGTAACAGTTTTACCGGTTTCAATTGGAAAGGCATTTTGAAAAAAGTCCTCTCTTTACATATCCCCTTGTATTGTTTCTTCAGTGACATGAAAACTTTGCAGCACAAACACACGACACAGTGCTGGTTTAAAGGCAGTACGACATACTGAAATTGTTTCAGCTAGTGTTGAATTCACACTTGCCGGGTCTTACAGTTAACAGGATTTTTTGTGAGCATTGTTCCGCGAAGCTTCTTTTCCTCGACGCTGCCGAGCTGAGTCTTTGTCGTCTGAAAGTGCACTAGGGCGGTCAGGTGTGGCTGCTGACCTGGATAAATCTTTACCTACATTCTGTTTTCTTGAAGCAGACTGCTGAGCCAGAATGGTGTCTTTTCCCTTTACATCCACAGTGTTAACAAAAAGAGGCTTTTCTTGACTTCCAGGTTTCCCCACAAGGTTTGAAGTAGGGCGGTGGGCTTCTGCTACAACAGTGGCACTGTGCAAGGCCATCAATGAAACACTTTTAGCCATTTCTGCCTTACTGCTCCCTGTGGAAGAGGTGCTTTTCTTATTTAGTTCCTTGCAAGTTGCAGGAAGCTCAGGTGAGCCTGCTTTAACCTTTGCTGAAATTGCATCACTCTTGGCTGAAGACAAAACAGATACTTCTTGCCTACACTCAGAGAAATTGGATGAACAAGTCAGCGGCTTTCCTGGTATTGTAGACACACGATAAGAACTCTGCCCGCTGGC